GTATATACCCTCTCCCACATTCTCTCTTTCTGGATCTCTTATTTTATTTTATTATTATTATTTTTAATCCTTACCTGAAGATATTTGTCCATTGATTTTTAAAGAGAGTGGAAGGGAGGGAGGGAGGAAGGGAAAGAGAGAGAAACATCAATATGAAAGAGACACATCGATTGGTTGCCTCCTGCACGTGCCCCTACGAGGGCTGGGATCAAACCTGCAATCCAGGTACATGTCCTGGACCAGACTCAAACCCGAGACTCGTCAGACCTCGGACTGATGCTCTAACTGCTGAGCCAAACCAGCCAGGGCTGGAGCTCTTATTTTAATACACTAGGTAGTCTCATTCATTGTGTCCTTTATATTTTTTACTTTTTTATCTCTCTCTATAGTGCATCCTGGTTTATTATCTTGTATTCTAGCTCACCATCTCTCTTCTATTAGATGTATCTAATTAGATATTTGCCTTTTCCACTGAGTTTTTAATTTTAATGACTGTATTTTTCATGTTAGAAGTTCTATTTGGTTCCCTTTAAAATTTACCTGCTTGTTTTTCATCGAGTATTGCCTTTTTTTTTTTTTTTTTTTTAATGATTTCAATGCCTTTTTCGGGGGTGGGGTCTCTAATCATTTTTTTAAAATAGTTAAAATGTCTAAAAAAAATTCCATCCTATGAAGTCTTGGGAATCTAATTTTGCTTTCTGTTGAAAGCTTCTAGTGGACTTTCTTACTAAACATTTTATAATTTTTTATTGTGAGTCCTTCCCTGCAGTTTTGTGGGAAAATTGTGCAGCCTGGATTGGGTGCATGACCCTCTAAGGGAGGTTTATATATATATATATATATATATATATATATATATATTGTTTTTTTTTACCAGGCACCCCAAGTATATCACTGGTCAGGGACATATTTTCATGTTAAAGTTTTAGTGTGTGGATTTTCAGGCCATGACATTTTGATGGACCAAAGAGAACTATATGCCTTGTGATTATTTTTTAAATCTACATACATATTTGTATTAAATTAAATGCTATTATCGAGCTTTTGTTTACTTAATCCAGACTTGTTGAGTATGCTAGGCGGTGGGAGTACACCACTAGGTGACCATTCTTAAGGAGATGGACATGAAAACAAGAAGTTAGGTTTAGCATGATAAATTTTGCTAGGGGTATACATACAGGGTAAGTAGCACAGAAAAACCATTAATAATGGCTGGACTAGGAAGAGCAAAGGGGAAGGCATTGCGCAGGTACTGGTTAAAATAAGCCTTGCATTGTTAGTAATAAGAAAAAGTTGATAAAAGGACAAGATTATATGGTTGCTTTATCCTTAAGATGGCACTATAAACTCACAATTCCTTTGTAGAGAAAGAATACACAAAAATAACTGTGACTTATCCAAAAGTGTCACTCAAACCTTATAATATAAACTTGAATGGCTCTTGTGTGTCAGACACGAAATGCTTGCATGTATTATTTGCATTTAATCTTTTTTTTAAATCCTTACTGAGGATATATATTTTTTACATTTATCTTCAGACAGAGTGGGAGGGGGAGAGAGAGAGGGAGAGAGAGAAACATCAATGTGAGAGAGATACATCGATTGGTTACCACCTGCAAACTGCAACCGAGGTACATGCCCTTGGCTGGAATCGAACCCGGGACCTTCTGGTTCTCAGGCTGATGCTCTAACCACTGAGCAAAAACAGCTAGGGCTATTTGCATTTAATCTTTACAACCACTCAAAGAAGTAGAGTCAAGTATTTGCCCCACTTTGCATACTAGGAATATTAGTCACAAAAGGTATAAGTGACTTGCCCTCTGTCACAAAGCCTGTAGCAGCAACACCAGGATTTAAACTGAAACAGCCTGAATCCAGAAACCATCTTAATCACTATGCTGTATCACCTCTTTCTGGTGATCCACATGATAAAAATGCCACCACATTAGAATGATCAGTTACGAAAACTCTTTTATTTACCCTCCAGTTCTAGTTAAATTGTGCAGGAAAGCATGTCCCTGTCTGGAAATAAGCCAGAGTCCATGTTAGCAGGTCTCCATTGATTGCTCTGCCCAGACTTCCACCAGGAAGCTGGCCCTGCCCTCCCTGGTCAGGTGCTCCTCCTAGGCCCTCTCATAGCACCCTAAGCATGTGACCTCGTGGTACTTAGCACTCTGATTGTGCTGATAGGTTTAGATCTCTGTTTTGCTCACTAATATGTGAACGTCTTTGTGACCCCCACACTTGGTATAATGCCTGGGGCATAGATTTCTCAACAAGTCTTTTTTTTTTTTTTTTTTTATCCTCACCCGAGGACATTTTTCCATCTTTTGTTCAGATAGAACGGGAGGGAGAGAGAGGAAGAGAGAGAGAGAAAAACATCGATGTGAAGGGACACATCGAGTGGCTGCCACCCGCACGACCAACCAGGGCCGGGGACAAACTGCAACCGAGGTACGTGCCCTTAGTGGGAACCGAACCCAGGTCTCTCTGTACCGCAGGCTGACGCTCCAACCGCTGAGCCAAACCGGCCAGGGCTCTCAACAAGTCTTTGCTGAACCTTTTCTTCTTCCATATTAAACCAGACCTTGCATCACAGCCACTATTTTCTCAGGTTCCTCTTTTCACTCCCTTCTATATATACAAAATCTCCAACACAGACAGCAAATTATAGGAGAGAAGGCAACCGTGTGAAAAAGTAGTTTCTATCTGAAACACTTGTGTGTTTAGGTGAAAATTGAAACAAATGCAAACACTGGGTTTAAATGTTAAGCAGTACCTGTTAGTATGTCTTGTCTTCCCCCTAGAGCATTTCTGAACCTGAGAAAACTATACTGTGCTTACTATCCTTCCATATTTCCATCCAGGTGAAATATAGTTAAAATGAATGCCAGCCCTGGTCGGTTTGGCTCAGTGGTTGGAGCATCGGCCTGTGGACCAGAGAGACCTGGGTTCAGTTCCTGCTAAGGGCATGTGCCTCGGTTGTGGTTCGTCCTTGGCCCTGGTCGGGTTTGTGTGGGTAGCAACCAGTCGATATATCTCTCTCACATTGATGTTTCTCTCTCGCTCTCTTCCTCCCTCTCTGTCTGAAGATGAATGCAAAAATGTCCTCGGTGAGGATAAAAAAAAAAAAAAAATGAATGCTAAAGGGGACCTGGAAATGGTAGAGAAGCATCCCAAAGGCAAATCCTGAAAAAGGAGCGAACATGAGGAAGGGTAAATGAATCTGCTCACCTTCCACCTCCTCTCTTCTCTTATAGAAACTTCAGGTGGTTTCTGAGCAACAGCTGGTAATAATTACCTCCTTCCTTTCTGCCCCGAGTCAATAACTCGTTACCACCTCCTCCCACCCTCACAAGTCTCAAAGCTGGTGTCCCAAGCAGTATATCTGGTTTGGCAATCTTTGGGGCAATTTTGGTAGCCAATAAATTCTCTTGAATGAAAACACTTGGAGCCTTTCCTTAGAGTTTACAATAGTATTGTGGATGGAGTTGTCAGGAGAGTTAGGTTCAGAAGGCAGTCTTATAAGGATTAGAGCACCAGTTTGACAGTAAAACAGACCCAGGTTCAAAACTAGGCCCTACACTAGCTGCTGTACTTGAACAGATTCACTTTCCCTATTTATAATGGAAATATTACTGGATCTACGTCATGGATTGTTATCAGAATGATGATATGAGTGAATTCAAGTAAAGCTCTTCGAACAATGTCTGAACATAGTAAGTATTCAATAAATGTTAGCTATGATTATTACTACGGATTTATGTAATCCATAAGCAAGGATTCATTTATTCACATCATATTATAAATCTCTTACTATACACTAGATACTAGGTCCTAGCGACACAATCTTTATTTCTTTATTCAGCAGATATAACTAAGCTTTGGACAGGAATTATACTTTGAGGAAATTATACTGTCTAGTATGCTGTTGAACTGGTCAACATTTTGAAGTCTTCCTCCCCCAATGATTCAACTCTATTTAGGGATTTCCTTGTTATAATAATTTAATCATCATGAATGAAAAGGATTTGGTTTACAAAATTTTGCTTTATTATGTTTATTTTCTTTTTTCCATAAACCTCATAATGTTTATTGTGTATAGTTGAGTATTTTTTGTTTTCTAAATAATGTGGTGTTTAGGGAAGTATAATGCTCTTCACAGATTAATTTATGGTTTTGACCTTTAGTGGGAAATGCTCTCAAATACATCAGAACAATGGGTTTTTGGCCACACAAAGCAGTAAGAGGTATGAGCTTTGTGGAATCTGACGTTATTTTTTCACTCTTCTGAGCCTTGGCTTTTTTTTTTTCCAAAGTAAAGTCTTTTTTATTTATTTATTTATTTATTTATTTATTTATTTATTTATTTATTTATTGGTACGTGCCCCTAGCGGGAACCGAACCCAGGACTCTCTGGTCCGCATACCGACGCTCCAACCGCTGAGTCAAACCGGCCAGGGTGAGGCTTGGCTTCTTAATCTTTGAAAAGGGATAATATCTCCATCTAGGAGGATGTTGAAAGGGTTAAATTTATCCATCCACCCATCCATGCAAGTATTTATTTGTTAAAACCTACTATAGCCCTGGCCGTTTTGGCTCAGCGGTTGGAGCGTCAGCCTTCGGACCGGAGAGTCCTGGGTTTGGTTCCCGCTAGAAGCACGTACCAAAAAAAAAAAACCCTGCTCTACACCAGACATTCTTCTGGGTACTGAGACTACAAGAGTAAACAAAACAAGCTGGAATCCTTATCTTCATACAGTTTATACTCTAAAAAGAAAATTTTGGGGGAAATTGAGATTGTTAATGTGAAATAAAACACACTTTCAAATTAATTATCCCATCAGTGTTGCAGTGCTTATGTCAAGGCTTAAGAAGCAGTTAATTGTGGCAGAGTAGATTCAAATTAGAATCTGTAGTTAAGTAATAAAGATATTCTGACAACAAAAAACAATGTAGAAATGAGTTCATTGCCAGTGAAAAGATTTTGTAAGTTTATCTGAAATTTCTTTTATTAGGTAATTTTATAATTTCACAACAGCTGTTTAGGTATATAAACATGTATATACACTTTTCTAAACATGTAAAAGAAAAGCAGTAGTTTATTAAATCTGCTGGAATTTATATTACTCAAAATCTTAACAAAACATTTGTTATAAAAATCAATAAAATTGTTTAACACATTTAAAAAATTCTTGAACATGTGTATATAGTCATTATTTTCAAGCTTGCTTTACAAAAAAAAAGAGTGCAGTTTCTATCCATGTGTTCATAGTGACTTTCAAAAGTAGTTTAAAGGGGGAAAAGAAGGTAGCATTGCCTTGTAATACAGCATTAATTAATACTGACTTACCCTGGGACACTCATGAAAAACCTTTATCACATATAGTAAAAATATTTAAAAATTAATACTCCATTTCTATGAATAAAACATAGAAAATAAGACTTTATATTCTTAGACTAACTTGTTACCATAAAAAACTGCATTCATTTTGCAGATATTACTGACACCCCACATTCTTTCTTTAAAAATACTTATGATATTTAAAATTTGAAAGACACCCACAGACATATTCTCCTCCCAATACATTCACTGAATGCAGATTTAAGTGAGCACATCTCATTTTGATTGTGCCCTTTATTTGTATACTTTAAAAATGGCTACAATATTGTTCATTTGTATTTTTAACTGGTACCAAAATTAAGATGAACAATCTATGTAAAACCATCAGCCTGTACTGCTAGTAACAGTTGTCATATGAAAAAAAGAAAAAGCCCTGAGTCAGTATTTTTTGCAAAAGCAATGAAGAAGAGTGCTCTGAAGTCATTTTATAACTTATGAAATAGTTAAGACTGTCCAGTATTCATTTATTTTGTTCTCATTTTGATTGAAGAGGTATGGCTTTTGTTTAGTAAATCCAATTCAGGTTATTTCTTAATACTCAATTTCATTTAAATCCTCAGAATATCCCGATGATTGCTGAGATACGTCTTCCATGTCTGTTAGGAGAGAAATAGACAATAATCGTTTTCTTTATTTTTATTGTAGAAAAATACTTAATTTGCATTCTTATAATTTGAGATTGTTGCAAAATTCCCTCTCAATCAAGCTTATATAGAGAAAAAATACTGTTACCTGCACAGGGTCCTGCTTGAAACTTAACATCATCAATGGCAATATCACTTCTTATTGACACTCCCTGAATGGCTTCAAAAATTATCTGAAAAATAACAGAGTTTGGATTTAGAAATATAATTTAATAATAAAAAAGTTTGAATTTAGATAAAACAAGACTGGTCAGGAACAGATCCAGGTTGTATGGGTCTAGAAGCTTAGATTTTTCTTAAGGCTCGCTGGGAAAAAGAGTACAAAATCACAAATTCAGATTTAGGTACAAAAGGGAATACTTTTTTGGAATTTAAAGAAATTCACAACAAATGACTGGAGATTGGAGATGCAGGTCCCTTTCCTCTGAGATCTCTTTAGGGAATTTCCTTGAAACGCTTCCTGGTGCTGACCTGGTTTGTCCTCCCCACCTAGAATGCTCCACTCCTAGCACTCAGGGCCTGTGGAAGTGATGGGCCCCGAAACTTAAGCTTCCTTAGGCTCTCCATAAATCTACCTTTGATCCATGTGCTAGGTGGAAGAATTTTTTTTTTATATTTTAATTAATTTTTTATTTATTATTTCTTAAATGAAGATTATTAAAAGGTAAAGATTACAGTTGTGAAAAGGACTCTGATTAATTCTCATTCTAGAGTAAAAACAGTCTTTTTTTTTTTAGATGATAGGGAAAGAAGTACATAAGAATTGTGTATTTTAAGTCAAAGGTCTTTCCTGTTACCCTAGATAACCTCTCCTAGAGTTTTTTCATTTACTTTACAGTTAAAGACCATTAATAAGTTTGTCACTCTTTAAAATCAGTCCTCTTTCCTTCTAAAGTCACATTTTTTAAATTAATTAATTATTGTTACAGATGTTTCTCCTTTTTCCCCCACTGATACTCCCCGCCCCCGCCCTGTCCCCAGCTTTCTGGTCCATGTCCATTGTTCATGCATACATGCATATAAGTTCTGTGGTTTATTTCCCCCCCCCCCACCTCTTCTGGGAATTGTCAGTCTGTACCCCACTTCCACGTCTCTGGGACTACCCCATTCCTCAGACTGTTATGTTCATTATATTCCACAAATAAGTGAGATCATGTGACATTTGTCTTTCTCTGCTTGGCTTGTTTTGCTTAGGATAATACTCTCTAGGTCCCCCCATGTCATCTCAAAGGACAAGAGATCTTTCTTTCTTACAGCTGCATAGGTGGAAAAATTTAATATGACTGATGAGATCCATGTATGAACAGCAAAGCATAACAATTAAATTTACCAAAATGACAATGTTTCACTTATCATGTTAAATACCATGGCATCCAAGAAAGCCCGGAAGATGAGGAAATCAGTTTTATGATTTTAGATTCTAAGAAGAAAATAACTAACCAAATATTCAGATTCTAGGGTAAATCAATTACATTATAATCTCTAAGGCAGCCCAACAATGGTTAATAAACCACTGAATACACCAGGGAGGCTGTGGGTAATAAAAAGTATCCAGAAGACTCATTTTCTTTACTCATTTTGTGAGCAAATGACTCCCCATTGGACTAGTTTGTTATAAAAGCAAATCAAAGCATAGAGAGTGGGTAATTAATAGGCATATGAAACTAGAAATTAATGACTCAAAGAAGCTTTAATAACAGAAATGTGGCAAAATAACATTAATAAAATTCTAAGGAGACGCCTCTAAACAAGGATCATTGTCATTGTAAAGAATAAAAAAAAAGTCCTAACATATCTAGATAGGAGGATATATGAGTGTAGCTAACAAGCATTTGGGTTTTCTGAAAAACAAAAACACCTATCTTTGACCATCAAGTCTGCAATGTAAAATGTAATAGACAAATTACTTGATGAGATTATATTCTTAATAGTCTATGGATGGGTTAAAACACTTGATTTCATAAAACCTTCTCCTTTGAATTTCTTTAATACTTAAGTAGTAACTTTTATAGGATTGTGATTTCCCCCTTGTATTATAGATATATATCCTACTAGTAAACAATTGTGGTTATTGAAGAATAAGACAACAATATATTTTTTTCAATTTAAATATTTTAAAAATGGCTACTAAATATTAGAACATAAATTCTTATTAAGTTGCTTGAACCCAACTACAAAATAAATGAACCTATTAGGTCTTTCTTTTGGTCTAGGAGCACTAGAAAAAACTTACTGAGACAAAAGGTACCATGAACAAAAAAATTTGGACACCTGGTCTTATTTGAGAACCCGGCACACAATAATTCCTAGTAAATGTTAGGCAGCATGATAAATATGAATGGTGTCCATATTTCAGCGAGTGAAGAATCTGTGTAACACTTTCTCTCCCTGGCATCGAACTATAAGAAACCAGAGAGGAAAACACCTGCGAGCAGAGGAGGACATGTAAGCAAAGAATTCAAAGGAAATAAAATCATTTTGTGTTTTTGATCAATAGCAAAGTCAGGTCTGCTTAACATTGTAATAAAGCCCTTAGGAAAGAACATGATTAAGATTCTGCTACATTTCTTTTCCACAAGGATAATCTGATGATTGGAATGTCATCTGAGGCCACCCATGTATTTTCCCTAGAGGATGAGTCTCAAATCACAGCAGTACTACAGCATTTTAAAAACCATCTCCACTGACCTACCCCCACTGACGACGTACACATTTACCAGACTAGCAAGTGGTCAATAAATATTTATTAAAATTGAGATGTTTTGACCTTGTACTACAGGAACTCGGTCCGGACACCTGATATAGCTATGGAGAATACCAGGTCTGTCATGGTGATGTGAATTAGAGACCAGAGAAGTTTGGAGGGAATATATATTTTTTAAACAATATCTTTTTTTTTTAAATCCTCACCCGAGGACATTTTTCCATTTTGTTGTTGTTCACATAGAGTGGGGGGGAGGGGGAGAGAGAGAGAAACATCGACGTGAAAGGGACACATCAAGTGGCTGCCACCCGTACGACCCAACGAGGGCCGGGGACAAACTGCAACCGAGGTACATGCCCTTAGCGGGAACCGAACCCGGGTCTCTCCAGACCAAAGGCAAATGCTCTAACCGCTGAGCCAAACCGGCCAGGGCTAGAAACAATATCTTTTAATATTTTGATACTTTAAAGTTTGTAAAACCCTTTCACATACATAATCTTATTTGACCCTCACTCTAACTCTGGTGATAACATGGTGGCAGGAATCCCATTTTGAAAATACATAAACAGTCTCAGAGAGGATGAGATTTCTCCAAGGTCACCCAGTTCTTATAAAATCTGGGGAATGAGTACATTTTGGAACTTTTACGGTGGAAGGGAGTGTAGAACAGTGACTTAGAGATATAAACTTTGGAACCAGCCCAGTCTGAGTTTAGATTGTCACTTTGCCACTTACCAGCTGGATCTCTAGTTTCGCCATCTGCAGAGAGGAGCTGTAAGATCAATCGGAAGAACCTGAGTACAGCTCTTAGCACTGTAAGTGCCTGGCACATAGAAGATGGCCAGTCTCTCTGCACATGGGTGTGTCTGTGTTTTATTAGACACTGGGATTTTTTTTTTTTAATCCTCACCCGGTATTTTTCTATTTATCTTCTGATAGAGTGGGAGGGAGGGAGAGAGAGAGAGAGAAAAAAAATTGATGTGAGAGAGCCACATCGATTTGTTGCCTCCCACATAACCCAGACCAGGGCCAGGGACAAACAGCAACTGAGGTACATGCCCCTGACAGGAGTTGAACCTGTGACTCTTTGGTCCGCAGGCCAATGCTCTAACTGCTGAGCCAAACAGGCCAGGGCAGACAGTAGGATGTTTTGAGGAAAGTAATTCAGTCTCCACATAGTCGTTTGGGAAACCTGAGAGAATCACTAAATCCAGAAGAAAATTTCTCATGGCAGATGTACATCTGTTTCATTCTAAGCCAAAGAGAATGAGCTGGAGGTTTCCTTCCAGACTGTGAGCTGTAAATTTGTTAGGTGATTCTGTACCCTTTGAACTTGAACACCCCAAGGTGCCACCCTAGATGCCTCATTACTCTGTGCTCAAAAAACATTTCAAAGAACCAGCCACCCTGCAAGTCTAAGGGATGCAAGGCCCTGTACCCAACCCCCTGGGCTCAGATGCTGAGAAGTCACACATTCCCCAGAAGATAAATCCTAGAACTCTTGTGCATCAACACCATTAGGGGGTTTTAAAAAAACATTAATACTCAGGCTCCACCAGAGAAACTCAGATTCATTTGATCCAGAGCAGAAATTCTCCATCTTTAGCATAAGTCAGAATCACCAGAAGAGCTTGTTAAGACACACATTTCTGGGCCCCCTCCCCAGAGTTTCTTGTCAGGAGTTCTGAAGTGGGGCCTGGGAATATGCATTTCAGGTGAGAGTGATTTCAGGTGAACGTGCTGCTGGTCTCAGGGCCACCCTTTGAAAACATCTGAATAGAGTATGGTGCCCTAATAGCCTAACAAAATTACTCCATCGCCTCTGAATGATGGCCAATTCTATCAGTAAGCTCCTGAGTGATCCACTTTCCTTCTGTAAACCGACACATCAGAATAATCTTTGGGGCAATCTGTTATTCTTTACTAAATTTCTAGGCAGTTTTATCCATGCTGGGATAATGGCCATTCGTGGATACTGGCACCCCTTCCCTCTGTCATTTGTTCTGCAATGGTGCGCCCTAGGTGGCACTGCAACCTAGCCACCTGAGCTTCTACAATTCCTCTCCATTTAGATCTTTAGAAAAGTTGTGGTTGTAGGTGGTATAAAATAAAGTCCTTATTTTTGGTACCTCTTCCCAGGAAGATTTAGACTTAGACCAAGCAGCCTGTGGTTAAAGTTAAGAGGTACTGGGCCAGGAGGTTTATCAGCCAGAAGCCAGCATGAGGAGTAAGTGGGGTTTTTAGCTGAAGGTCACACCTGAGTGAGAGCTCCTCAGAGCAAGTTCAGGCGCAGTCCAGGGTCTGAAGGTTGTTTCCCCAGGGCCATCTGAAGCTTTGGCTCATGGGGTGGGAGGAGGGCAGGTGAAATCAGTGGTTGTCAGGAGGCCCCTGCTGATCTCTAGACTAGACTGGCTGCTCAGCCTCATCTATTGGAATGTAAAAGGCTCAATCTGATCACCGCTCAGAGTCCCTTACAACTGGGATCCTGTAGGATGAAGGTCTTCTGCGGTACATGAGAAGATCCAGGGAGAGACCCAGGGCTTAGGCTCAAGACTCCCAGTTTCTTCCACATCTATGTGGACAGAAGCTTAAAAATCTACTCTGGACCATATACTCTGGTAGATGTAGGCTTACAACACAAGCCCCTGGATGTGGATAAAGATGAGTGAACGATGCAGCTGCAACAACGAATTAGGTGACGGCATGCTTAGAAGAAAGGGAGACTGTTTTAGAGATTTGCAGGACACATAGAATGTACTTGACACTGATAAACTACAAGGCAAAAACAGACACACTTTCATCTTTGAGCTGCAAAAATCACTTTATGCATAAATACCCAAAGCTATCTCTCCCTGCCTAAGTTCCCATTCACCGCTTAGATTTAATCAATATAGACTAATTATGTTTACTCTTAAACAAGTACTGCCTTTATCTTTGACCCTGAAAGAGAACAAAACATTCTCTTAGGTAGCAAGAAACAGAAAGAACATCAGAAGCTTGCAGGAATGTTTCCCGTTGCTTGTGTCTTATCTCTTTTGGCTTACCTGATGTTGCCTCTCACAGCTGTACTCAATCAGCGCTCGGAGCCAGGAAATGCTCTGTTCGCCTCTTCGTCTCCATAAGAGGACCTCTTCCCTGTCACCTTCTTTTTTCAAATAAACACTCAGCAGGCCGGTCCCTGCTCCATACATGTGGTAGAAAAAGGTCAAGCAGTGCTTTCTGGTGACTCCTCGCAGAGGCCCAGACGAGAGGCGTGCCTTTTGTCCATACACCATGTGGGAGGCCTCGATGTACATGTAGTAGCCTTGAGAGCAATGTAAAACCAGGTATCATTAAAAAAGACGCACATTATATTCTCTTCTTTCTCTTTTGAGTAATGTTCCTGGAAACAAATTAGAGTGAATGGATGACTTGACTACAGTACTGATAAAGGATATTATCATTTTGGAGAATAGGCATAATCCAAGGAGAATAAATATGCTACAAAATTTAGATGATAAAAATAATTTTTTCCATTTAATAATTTATAATTCAGTTTCATATACAGGAGGTAATTGATATACTAGTATTATACCACTGATGTGGTGATTAACATTTCAGAATTTATTCTATTAATTCATGGACAATATTGTGGAGCTTCCAGACATTGGTTTAGGGGAGAAAGCATAGCTTTTGCAGTCAGGTTGATCGGGGTTCAAGTTTTCACTCTAATATTTGTTGTCTCTGGGATCCTGGTCTAATGAATTATGCTCTCTGAACACATATTTATCATTTCCACAAACACAGACCTGAGAAGTCCCTATAAACCGTTAAAAGGGTAGGAGACAGAGTGCTGCCCAAGTTGGTTTTATAAAATTGTGTGCACTATGCAACACCTTCTCCCAGTCAAGTTATCACCTGCGAAACTGGACCATTGGAGCCCTGGGATGTGGCCTTCTTTGCACCTAGTCATCCCCATGATCTGCTTTGAAAAAATATTAGGAAAAATACTGTCCATGCTTCTGGAGTGCTCACCGATCACATCCTCATTACCAACACCAATCATCAATGCTCAGTCCTTGCCATTCATGTGCCATCAGTACATTGCACATACTAGGTCACTTCTGCCTCCTAGAAATACTTTCTTACATTGGCTTGCAGAACACTGTACTCTCCTGGGTTTTCTCCCATTTCCCTGGTCACTCCTTTGCTAGTTAACCTTTCTTCTCTGATCTGTTCACCTGGAGGTGCTCCAAGTCCCAGTTCTTGTACTTCTCTATCTCACTCCTTTGATCTCATCTTGTTTCAAGGATTTAAATGCTACATATGTTGTCATTTCTCAAGTTTAAATTTCCAGCTTCCTTGCTGAAATCCAGATTTGTTCATTCAAACTGCCTGATGGATATCTCCACTTATTGTCAAATAGACATCTCCAACTGAGCATGTTCAAAACTAAACTCCTAACAACTTTACCTTAAAACTTACTCCACCCTTTCTGGTTGGCCAGGCCCAAACCTGGGAGTCTTGCACTACTCCTTGCCTCCTCTCACTCTCCACATCCAAGCTGTCAGGATTCTGTTGGCTCTACCTTCAAAATGTGCCTAGAGTCCAGTCATTTTCCTTCTCCCTGCTTCTAGTGCTTCCTTCGGGGCTGAGCCACTATCATTTCTCATTTGGATGAATGCAACACTTTCCAACTAGTCCGCTTGCTTCTACCCTTGTTCTCTACAATCTAACCTCAACATAGTATCTATGGCGAACCTTCTAAACAAAAGCTATATCTTACTACTCCTCTGTTCAAAACCTTCCATTGACTCAGCATTTCACTCAGAGCAAAAGCTGAAGGCCTGACAATTACCTTTAGGGCCCTATACTCTAATTCTCACCTATTCTCTTACCTCTCTGCTGCCTACTACCTCCATCTCCTACTATCTTTCTCCTTACTCTGTGTAGCGTGGCCACACTGGCCTGGAATGGTAGGTATGCTACCACCTCAGGGCCTTTGCATGTGCTAACCCTCTGCCTGGAATGGCTTTCCCCTCTATGATCTCAGGTCTCACTCTCTCACTTCTAAGTCTTTGCTCAGTTATTACCTTTTCTATTAGGCCTATTCTGACTACACTATTTCAAACTGCAATCTCCCTCCTCTGGCACACCTCATTCCTTAGTCCCTAATTTATTATTTTCCATAGCACGTAATTGCCTCTTAACATACAGTTGTTTCTCGCAACTTCATGGTTCGACTTTCGCAGCTTCACTCAATCATGGTTTTTTCAAATATATTCATTAAAAAGTTGATTGAGACAGTGAAAATGATACAGCGTGCACTCGATTGTCTGAGTCAATTATCACCACTGTATTACAATTAAAGTTAAAATTACTGTCTGTATGGACTGTAGGCTTATATATTTAAGCACACCTGCAAATCCTTCAACGCCAGGTGCAATTGCTCGACCACTCCCTGTGTGTGGGCAATAACTTTTTTCCAAAAAATTGGGTGTGGTGAAACCAAGCCAGTCAGAGCGTGCTGTTCACTGACTGGCTATCCTATCCTCTTCCTATCCTGGCCACTGATTGGCTCAGCCTCATTCAAGTTTGTTTCTCTCATGCACACATAGCTATGTATCAAAAGCATCTTTGTTCTTGTACGTGTTTGCGATTTCTGAGAACTTTTATCTAAGCCCCACGGTAGCTCTTAAATGTGCTGCTGCTTCTAAGCCTTCTGACGATGAAACTGCTGGAGGAAGATGCTTACCATCCAGGAGAAGGTGAAACTCTTGGATATGATCAAAGATGGCAAGAAATGTGGAGGTTGCCTGCCATTATGACTTGAATGAGTCTACCGTTCGCTCCATCCGTAAAGATGAAAAGAGCATCTGTGCAACTTGGGCTACTGTCTCTGTCAACAAGGAAGCAAAGTGTGTCGTGACAAGTCGTAATAAGTTCATAGTGAAAACGGAGTCTGCCCTAGCCATTTGGATCAGCGACAGCCACAAGGAAATCATTCCGTTGGATTCGCTGGTCCTCCCGGGAGAAGGCGAGGCAGCTCTATTAGTGCTTTACGGTGGACGAACCTCAAACAGGACCCTCTTCTGCAATGTTCATGGATTTCACGGCGAGCAAGGGTTGGTTCGAGAAGTTCCGGAAAAGGTATCATCTGAAGAGTGTCGTTCTCCACAGAGAAGCTGCCTGTACTGACCAGCCTGCAGCAGAGGACTCTGTGAACAACAGGTTCCAGAAGATCCTTGGCGGGGGGCGAGTATCATCCAGAACAGGTGTTCAATATGGATGAAACAGGACTGTTCTCGAAAAGAATGTCCTCCCGGACATTCATTTTCAAGGAGGCCAAGGTCCGTGGCTTCAGTGCGTATAAGGATCGCATGACTATCGTTATGTGTGGAAATGCTGAGGGATTTTTGCTCAAGCCTGCCCTTATCTACAGGCCAAGAACCCTAGGGCCCTAAAGAATAAAAACAAGAACCTGCTGCCAGTGCATTGGATGCACGACGACAAGGGCTGGATCACGAAGCAGCTGCCATCGGACTGGTTCCACGAGTGCTTCCTCCCCCAAGTAAAGCTGTATCTCATGGAGAAGGGACTCGAGTTTAATGTCCTTCTCCTCATGGACAATGTTGGAGGTCATGCGCAAGACCTATCCTACCACAATGTGCGAATCAAGTTCCTTCCTCCCAACACCGCTTCGCTGATCCAGCCCATGGATCAAGGTGTTATTTGCGCTTTCAAGGCCCTCTACAGGCGAAACACCCTGCAGCACCTCGTCGAAGGCATGGACCTTGAGGAGAACCTGTTGCTGAAGGAGTACTGGGGGCAGTATACTATCGTGACCTGTCTGAGAACATCCAGGCCACGTTGAAGGACATAAAGACGGAGACCGTGAAGGCCAGCTGGAAGATGTTGTGGCCTGAAATTGTCCATGGCTACAGAGGATTCACCCCAGAGGATAAAAGCGACTCGGCAGTGGATAAGGCAGTTAGGCTAGCCTGGATGCTGGGAGGAGAAGGTTTCACGGATATGACCCACGATGACGTGGATGAGCTGCTGGAGACACATTTGGATCCCTGAACTGACGAGGATCTGGTGGAGATGACTAAGTTTGCGAGTGAGGAGGAGGAAGAGCAGCCAGAGGTTCCTGGGGGTCAGGAGGAGGAAGTTGGCCTTACACTTGAGCGTCTCTCGCAAGTCATGAGAACTATTAAGGTAGTACAGGACATGACTGGCGAATGGGACCCACAAATGTTGCATGCATTGTGGTTCTGGAATGCACTTGATGGAGTGATAGAACCCTACAAAAGCCTCCTCATGCACCTGAAAAGACAGCGCCAGCAACTGCCCATCACGATGTTCTTCAGCTGCGCACCCAGACACCCACCGCCTACTCCTAGTGCTCCTTCAGCGGAAGAAGATGATAACGCACCTGCTGAAGATACTGCACCATCTGAAGACTCTCCTACTGAGATCGTGCCTTCAGAGGAGCAGTAACCTTGCTCTTCTTTGCTGTCAGTACATCTCTACATTGCTTCATCATTGAACAAGTTGCGCTATTTTCATAGGTTAGTGGTTGTGTGTAATTAAATGTACAATAATAATAATATAATATTTGTAACATATAATATGTCTTATTTTCTCTTATTTGGTGTAATGTATTGGGTAATACAAGTGTAATGGTGACTAAAGGGTGTTATTTCATGTCTAGAGGGCTCTAATAATGTTAAAAAATGTATTTAGAAGGTCGTAAACAGGCTTTCTATGCTCTGTGAAAATATTTGATTTATAAATGAAGAATTCTACTTCACAGAAATTCATTTATCACAGTAGGGTCTGGAACTAATTAATTGTGATAAACGAGGGCTACTGTACTATATAACTTTTCTTATTTTTTATGTCTGTCTGTCTCCCCCCTCTAGAACACACAAAAGCAGAGATTTTTCCTGGTTCACTTCACTGCTCTGCCTTGGTCCTAGAACAGTGTCCAGAACATAGTAGATGCTCAAAAAAATATTTGAATGAACAAATAAATACATGTTTTCTATAGCTCTAAGACACAAATCACTTTGACCATCTGCAGATCCCATGGCTCTACCGAGTCACTCCACGGTGTGAGAGCCTTGGCAATGAGACATGAACTTGACTAGGTTGCTCTAAGGCAAAACTAGCACACATCTAAGTTTTGATAAATTAAAATCATATTAAAGCAAATGTTCTCAAACCAGTTTCATACCATTTAATGTATCTTTTTTAACCAATCAAACATACGCTAATTCTTTAACTTCATTGGCAAGAAAATTGCTACATGAGAAGTACTGT